TGGGAAAGAGCCACAGACGGCTCGCGGGGGGTTTACTTTGTGGCTGTCGGCGACACAGGGCTGCCGGCCGAGGCGTTGGACCAGGTGAAACCGACGTACTTTGCTGCCCAATACTGAATCAGCTGCATAGTAATATAATGGCCTATCCTTTCCTAGGGCAGGCTCCCAGGTTTCTTGTCCGTAGAATATTTCTTGCTTCTCCTAGCGACTGCACAGAAGATGAAGACGATAATGTGTATTGCTAGGCAGATAGCTTTGGAACAGGGAGCTATGCATATTCTGTCTGATGCTTACAGTTCCTGCATTCCCTAACTTGGGGTGTATGCGCGGGTGCCGCTGTGCTTTTGCTTGGCAGGTGGCGGCGACGATGGCGGAATTTTGTTCCGCCGTCCCTGTGTCTTTTGTCTCATTACTCGGTGACAACTTCTATCCCACGGGAGTCAGCAGTATAGAAGACCCGAAGTTCACTTCACATTTTGAAATCCCATTTGGGCACCCTGCCTTGCAACGGGTGCGTTGCACTGAGTTGCTGGGGCCCTCGCACCGACAAGCCTCACTGTATTTGGGGATTTTCAACATTCCTCGTCGTGATATCTGGGCTTTTACCAGCCTCGCTGGAGTGTTGGTTACTTAGATGAATTGTTGAATATCATTCACGTGGCGTCATTTACACACGGACATGTAGTGCCTTCTCCTTGAACGCCTTTCCATTCACCTTGCAGTCTCTGCATCTGCCGTGCTGGCTGAACAGGTGGCTTTCTTCCCCATTTTCGGAAATCACGATTATAAAATGTACCCAGAAGGGCAAATCGGGCGCTACTTTTCGTCTTGTGCAACTTGTAAACATCCACAAGACTGGAACAGTGAGGAGAACCTAAACCCGGTGTTTATTTGTTGGGGAGAGCTATCGTGTTCATCAGTTTTCCCTACTTTTGCTGTTTCTTTAATTTCAAGACTATTAGACGTATGCATGCGTATGGTGGTGACGATTGTTGTGTGCT